AAAAACACATTTTGTCAATAAATTTCTGGGAGAAGTTCTGAGTATCGACTTGTAAGTGTGGAAGATTCTTTGCTGTGATTCTCATTCTCTGTTGAGAAACACTGGTCTTATTTTTAGAGTAAAGGTGAACTTTGGAGATCGCTATTAATATATTCTAAGTTACAACCACAAGATAATTAGAAGGCCCATTCTGGTACTGGCGTTGTGGTGCAGCAGGTTAACCTGCCACCTGGGACACTGCCATGCCATATGAGCACCGGCTGGAGTCCCAGCTGCTCTGCTTCCAATCCAGCTCCCTGCTAATGCGCCTGGGGAAGCAGCCAAAGCTGCCCCAAGTGCTTGGACCCCTGCCACCCATGCAAGAAAACTGAATGGAGTGCCAGGCTCCTGGCTTCAGCCTGGCTCAGCTCTGGCTATTGTGGCCATTTGGAGAGTGAACCAGCAGATGAAAAATATTTCTCTAACTCTGCCTTTCAAATAATTCTTTAAAAAGGAAGGTGGCCCGTTTCGGTGAGGTTATGCACTGTCTTCTGTCCTCATGCTTCTGCTTTTTGAATTTAGGAGCTTAACAAAGGTTTCCTCTTCTGTCATTTTCCTCAAGTGATGAACATGCACAAAAGCCATGCTCAAGTAGCTGATGGAAAGATTATCTTTCTTGGGGTTGTGAAGGATGGACAAGGTTTAAATAGGTAAAAATAAGTTTCCAAAGAAAAGAGTAAGAAATTAAAAAATCAGCCACAGGTTCTCTCAACAAGGAATGCCCTAATAATATCAGTTATGCTCTAGGACTGTTGGTATGAGAATAGCAAACAGGTGAGGAGGAAAGAAAGTGATTCTGTGCATACACTGTGAATGTGAATGTGTGTTCATTACTGGGGTACAGCCATATGATAACTGTCACTTGTAACTGGGTGTGTGTGTGTGTGTGTGTGTGTAAGGAAGTAACTGGAATAGGAGAATTCACTACTCATACAAGAGTGCCCTCAATGGACAGAAAACAAGAAGAAATGCGTCCAGGTGGTCAGGAACACTGGTCCACAAGTGAGGAGAGGGGCAGGCTTCATTTATCACAGGAACAAATACACTAATGAGCATTCACAGCAGTCCATGTCCCAAGTTGGCCAGCAGCATGACTAACCAGGGGTGTCCCTCGGACAGCGAGAGAGAATTCAACTTCATGGCCTATGATGGCTTCATCTTTGGTACTTTCATTCCACATCAAGAGGCCAAGATTAGCCATCTGTTAAACAGCCTTGCATTATCAGAGGTGGCCAACGGTAACTTAAAAAAAAATAAATAAAAGAAATCCATCCCACAAACCTAGAGGACTCTGGGATATACTAACAAAACCTACAGGGAGTACTGATGAGTATATTCCTTTATGTAGTGCCATATATAGTGGTTAGTGCTAGCAAAGAATACAAATTTGACTATAACGTCTTCAGTCCAGCTCTTGCCCAGTTTGAGACGTCTTCTTCAGGTTGTCCGCGCACACTATGTAGGAAGAACACACACCACCAAGCTAGCCAGCAGGCTGATTCAGGAAGGCAAAGCACACAGTAACTGAACAGATTCCTCCTCAGTAGATGGGATTTGTGTGCCAGAGACTGGGAGGGAAGTCTTCAAACACTGTTTTAATTATTACCCCAATGCATTACAATCAGAAGATTACAGAGAATTGACACATTGTCACTGAACCTAGTTCAGATGTGCCCTGAGCTTTTTCTGGTTGTATTTATGTAGCCTTTTTCCTAAATGACCTGACTGGTAATTGTGAAGCAAAATGAGCAGCAACTGAAAACAAGTGGTGCGTGGCCAAACGGATTGGCTTAACCAAAAAACAATGTGATTACTTCCATCTTTATTTATAACACACTCATCACCACAGCTCTGGAACCAGCTTTCTTTCCATAGACATAAACTAGGCTTAGCAAGATTAGGAAGATGTGTTTCACTACCCTTTTCTAGTCATTAGAATATATAAAACTTTGTAATTTGAATATTTGATAAACAAAAGATACAGGAGTTAAGAGAAATAACTGGATTTTATCATTGAGAATACAATAGCAGGAAATTTAAAATAAAAATAAAAAACCTAAAAAATTAAGAGACAGGAATGACAAATTTGATGGAGTTACTCTTCTACCATATCTTGTAGGTGAAGAATCAGCATTACTTAAATAGCTTAAGTCTTCTGAATTACTTAAGTCAGCTCTCACCCACCTCCTCAACACACAAACCCTTGTTTTTTTTTATGTTGGGGAACATTTATATAGAATTCATTTCTCCTGTGCACAGATTAATCTAATATATTTCTTCCAAAAATCTTCCTTAGCCAAAATTCTACAGCTCATTTTTCTTTTTTTTCTTCTCTCTTGTTTTCTTTCCTTTCCTCCTTCCTTCTTTCCTTTCCTCTCTTTTTCTGGTAAAGATTTATTAATTTATTTGAAAGTCAGAAAGAGCAAGAGAGATACCTCACCAAATGACTACAACAGCCAGGGCTGGGTCAGACCAAAGCCAGGAGCCAGGAGCTTCATCCTGCTCTCCACATGAGTGGCAGGGACCCGAGCATTCTGGCCATCTTCCACTGCCTCCCCAAGCACATCAACAGGGAGCTGGATAGGAAGCAGAGAAGCTAGGACTCAGGGTATCACTGTGACATGGGACATCAATGTTGCAAGTGGCACCTTAATCTCTGAGCCACAACACTGGCTCCTCTTACAGCTATTTTTTAAGTAACTTCTATTGCAGCTGGCTTTCAAAACCAGTTTCTGCCTGCATTCTGTGTTGAAAAATTATCCAGTTCCCTGGTTAGGTAACATTAATACACTATAATTTTTTACCTACATTATAAATGTGGTTATATTAGGAGGCAGTGCACCGGAGTTCCACAGGACAAAAACCAGGGACACATGTTCTTCCCTGGTTTTCCCATGAGTAGTTTCAGGGCAGCATCAGCAGTGATTGTTATTAGGGCACTGTATGAGAATGTGGAGTCTCAAAGATAGTTATGTACATATCCATAAACTATACAAACATACATGCATACATGCGTATGTTCATCAACACACACGTATATGAGGACGGCTTTAATGGAAAATGTGTATTATGAAAAAAAATGCATGGGTTTCAAGGTTTCTTTGCATCAAAATAAATCTTTCAATTCTATGTCCTCCCAACTTCCTGAAGTACCCCAGTGTATGCATTCCTGCGTCCTACCATCTAAGCAACTGCTTCAGAGCACGCCCTGGCCTTGGCAGTGTTTCGAGTTCTGGAGTTCTGTGGTTCTGTGGTTCTGTCGTCCTGTAGTTCTGTGGTTCTGTGGCAGTCACCCTTTAAACTAGGATTTCTGAAGAGTGGTCCTTAACCTCCTTTCAGTCCCTTACAAAGTCTTCCGTGGACCACAGTGAAGTGAGAAACAAGGAAGGCCAGACTTACTCCGTTCTTCTTTTACAAATCACTGTCCTTCCCTTCACTCTTTCCCCATTTTTCTTGTGAAACAGTCTCCTGCTTGTTAAATAATGTCATAGTAGAGATCTTTAACACAACAACTTGGCAAAATAAAAAGTTGGCTCTCTTTCTATCCGTTTTGAAACTTTACCAATTTATGAAATTCAGAAGTCTGGAAAAGCTCTTCCTTTAGATGATTTAAAGCAAGAAATGTATCAGAATGACTCAGTCAGTGGTACAGAGAGCACATTGGCACCATCTTTCAAAATTAGGAAATGTAATTATACTCTGACTCAGGAATCATCTGAAATTCTCTCTCTGCAAGCCCCCTGCCTGTTAACTCCATTCTCCACTGCTTCACATGGTCTTCCACCTAGCCAGTACCAGATTCACCTTTATTGTTTTGATCAGTTTGACTTTTAAGTATTGCTCAATGGACCTCCCTCTGGCTAAGTTGCATTTTCTAAATAAGTTCCCCAATACAAATTCTTTTTTTTTTTTTTAATTTGACAGGTAGAGTTATAGATAGTGAGAGGGAGACAGAGAGAAAGGTCTTCCTTCTATTGGCTCACTCCCCAGATGGCTGCTATGGTCGGCGCTGTGCCAATCCGAAGCCAGGAGCCAGGTGCTTCTTCCTGGTCTCCCATGCGAGTGCAGGGGCCCAAGCACTTGGGCCATCCTCCATTGCCTTCTCGGGCCACAGCAGAGAGCTGGCCTGGAAGAGGAGCAACCGGGACTAGAACTTGGCACCCTATATGGGATGCTGGTGCTGCAGGCAGAGGATTAACCAAGTGAGCCACGGCGTTGGCCCCTCAATACAAATTATTCTATAAATTCCTTAATCATACAATTTCCCTTATTCACCTGAATTATCAAAGGAATAATTTCTGTCTTTTTTGTTTTATTTGTTTAGAAAAAAAGTAATATGTTTCCCAGTGAAACTGTAAAGAACCATAGAAAATCACAAAGGAAAAAATTAAAATAAATCATAATTCCATCTACTGGATATAATCATCATTAATATTCCAGTCATATTCAGCAAGCACAGGAATCATACAATATATAACTATCACTTAATGCTCCTTTAAATTAGGATTTTTTAATGTTTCCACAATACATTAAAGGATATTATAATTTATTTAACCACCTCCTTGCCTCCATTTTTTTTTTAACAAGAAAAGCTTTAAATTCTGTATCTCTTACTTATTCCTCGGCACAGAAAAAATAAATAAGTAAAAGTAAACAAAAAGAAACCAAACACATGCCCAAACTTGAAAGGTCATAATAGTTCCACCACTTTAGATACACAGTATAATACTTTCCTGGTTAAATATTGTATTTAAGTGTTGTTACGCTCTATATTCTTCATCATGTCTTTTGTGATTGTCATTCATGGGAAGCTTCCTAGGAGTTGGGTAGGCTGAGATTTATATTAACTTAATGTTTTAAAAACATGATTGCATAAAACAAAAGCCATTTAGGTAATGCAACAAACCAGCAATCCTAGATTCATATATTACAACATTAAAAACATTTGAATTTTAATTTACCTTGAGCAAATTTGACACAGTGATTGAAGAGAAACACCGGGCATATAGGTTAAGGCAGCATTATAACACAACAAAAGGAATGTCAACACTTCAAACCTAAAGACAAACCAAAAGAATAAGAAGAGATCTTTAGAATGCTAAGAAGTCAACCATAATAGGCAGGAGTGTGACCACAGGGGAGACTTATGTTATAGAACAGACCTGCATAACATAAGGATCCCAATAATGGTAAGAAGCTAAAAAGGAAAAAGACTTTCCAAGGAACAGCCATGCAAACTTATCTTTAAAATTGAATGTTCCAGATGACATACGAAGCAAAGCACAGTGACAAATCTAGATGTGTATTTCTCTTGCATAAGATGACTCACTATTCAGATAAGTTGCCATATATAACTGATTAAACAATACTATAAATCTACTGAAATCACTTTTTAAAGTCAGTCCCAATGGTATACCTATTCTGTGCTGTCAGCATCTCCCTTTGAGGATGAGGTCCACTGTACACAACTTTGGACAAACCGTGCTGGGAGAGTGCACTTTCAGTCAGGGCCATGGACCCAATGCTGGAAGGCTGCAGAAAAGACATTTGAACAAAGGGGGAAAAGCTATTCCATTGAAAATATGGTATTTTCAGTACATACACCACTAAGAATGACTACCATGAACATGATATACACTAAAAATATTCAGACTAACTACCAAATTTTCTGCTAAAAAAGAAATAAATAATTTAAAACCAAACCACAAAGGATAAATAAGAAATGATTTCAAAAAATTCTGCTGTGGAAATACACAATTGCTATATACAAAAACAATCAGATTAGACATCTCTCAGGAGCTGAGAAAACAGACTACTTTCAACGGATCTTTTACTATCAAATTTTAATTCAGAGTTTAATGATTTTGATTATTCATTTTATTTTGGAAACAGTAAATACTTTGGTAATTTATACTTTTTAAGGTACTAATAAATTCATCAATTTTGTTCGCCTCGATAACTAACCCCTAATTTAAGGCAATATCAAACCTTAGGACTAGTAAACTTACTTTGATAAAATGTCACTTACTTCATGATACACAGATGGTTTGGATAAAGATGGAATCGTAAAACTCAATACTTTGCTATGTCCCTGTTTGTCAACTATTTCCTACAAAAGTGAAAGAAAATATCTTGACATATTTACCTTTTTTACACATAAATTCATTTTGTTAGTCTAAATTTAAAAAAAAAAAGACCTGAGTAGAAAGGAATCTTAAAGTCAATTATAATCTTAAACCATGAGACTCTATTATCAATTATTCATAAATAGCAATAGTTAAAATGCATATCCTCTTACTTTTAAAATATAAGTAACAAATAGCTTTGAGAATGGCTCAGACACAGATACAATGTCTTAATAAACACTGATCTTTCTAATAAAGCCAGTTACATTTTCTAAATCAATTAAGGATATAAATATGAATGGGTCTTAAATTTCTTTTCCATTTTTAAAACTATAAACCATAAGTATCTAGAACATCATACTAACTGATATATAAACTCTATTAGTATTGAAAATTCTAAGTAATGAAAATCCTAAATCAATGGTGCAAACCCTGGAGGTGATCCACATTTTACGGGACTATGCTGAATATTAGATGAGGTTTTTTCTAAACTTTTTGTGAAGGTCAGAAACATCATTTAAGAGCAGTACATTTTAAGTTCAAAATTTAAAACACAACAATCATATTTTTTGGGTACCTCCTTAAAAGAATTGAAATCATTTGATTTCTAGTCTTCAATCAATCCATAAGGGTTTTTTTACATAATTATATGTATGCCTGTAGAGTCTCTAACCACATACAATCTTTTTCTTTTTTTGAGAGAGAATGAACTATGAGTCATTTGATATATGAAAAACAAACATAAGCTTTACCAAAAAAAAAAAAAGTTGCAAAGGTTATGGATTGGATTTTGCTAAAAAACACTGTGTTAACTACATTAAATACAAACCAAATTGTAAACCCCTAAGAGAAGAGCTTCGATGCATCCGCTGCTGTGCACGTTTCTGCTGGCTGAAACTGCGAGGTAGCACCAAATCAGTTCTGGGAGAAACTGCAGGGTGAACCGAAGCAACTGTTCCTCCCCACTGCGATAGAACTCAAAGAGCTGGTGACAGACAGGTTCTAGCAACTGGAAGGAAAATGAAACGCATTTGAATGACATTGTTATATGAAATGTAAAAGGTTTTTCTGGATTGGTGACTAATGAAATATATAAATATTTTAATATTTTTTGAAGCAAAGCTATTCATGACTAAGCTATTTAGTAAACTTTTGGAACCTTGGGGGATGGGCACACAGTGCAACACAAGTATGAAGGCAGAGTGTAAACTTCAAGACCATCTTGAACTGTTAGATAGTATAGGTATGAAAACCATGTCTTTTTAACTTCTGAAAATAGCTAAGTTGTCGGAAGTTTCTTCCTTAATATCCATCACTGCTGGTTAAATACATGACAATATAGAAATGGCTTGCCATGGGGTCAAGGAAACTAGGAAGTCACTGCCACATCTCCCTTCCGAGCTGTCTCTAACAGCAGTGACTAGCATGTACGATAGCTGAATAATTACAGAGCCCCTGGGTTGAGATTCTGATTGTAACCATGGTTAATTGTCCCCCAGATAATCTAAATGTCCCTATAATTTTTTAAAAGATTTATTTATTTACTTAAAAGTAAATTTATTTACACAGAGAGAGGAGAGGCAGAGAGAGAGAGAGAAAGAGAGAGAGGTCTTCCATCCGATGGTTCACTCCCCAGTTGGCCACAATGGCTGGAGCTGTGCCCATCAGAAGTCAGGAGCCAGGAGCTTCTTCCCAGTCTCCCCCACAGGTGCAGGGGCCCAAGGACTTGGGCCATCTTCTACCACCTTCCCAGGCCATAGCAGAGAGCTGGGATGCTGGCACTGCAGGTGGTGGACTTACCCGCTAAGCCATAGCACCAGCCCCAATTTTGTTTTAAACCTAATTTGGAGGCCAGCGCCGCGGCTCACCAGGCTAATCCTCCACCTGCAGCACTGGCGCACCAGGTTCTAGTCCTGGTCGGGGCGCCAGATTCTGTCCCGGTTGCCCCTCTTCCAGGCCAGCCCTCTGCTGTGGCCCGGGAGTACAGTGGAGGATGGCCCAAGTGCTTGGGCCCTGCACCCGCATGAGAGACCAGGAGAAGCACCTGGCTCCTGGCTTCGGATCAGCGTGGTGCGCCGGCTGCGGCAGCCATTGGAAGGTGAACCAATGGCAAAAGGAAGACTTTTCTCCCTGTCTCTCTCTCTCTCACTGTCCACTCTGCCTGTCAAAAAAAAAAAAAAAAAAAAAAAAAAAAACCACATAATTTGGAGCCATCTGTAACCGTCTCCTTTCCCACCATACCCCCACCACTACCCAGTTACTAGAGCGGCTGTATCTTCACAATAGACTGTCTTTTTTCAATTCAGAAAGGCAAGATAAAAGACACTCATAGATAATATTATTTTACAGTATACAGAACAATCACACACAAGTCAATATGTCACAAGATTCACAGGGTACTGATTTTTCAAGGAAACAATCCAGCTATTATATTTTCAATGAACTATATACTTCACTAGTTTACATAATGGATTTAACTCATTTTACTAAACAGATTTTCTACTGCCAATAATTGAAATGAACAGAAACTAATTTAAAGTGGGTGTTTTGGTTTCAAATAATTTAAATATGTAAACTGAAAATTAAAGTCAACATTATTTAAATAAGATTTAACAAAAGTCACATTTCAGTAAACATTGACTAAATCAAGTTAAACTTTCCTATCAGACAAACTACCTAACTTCTGACAGTTACTCCTCATAAGGAATGTTTTCCCACTCTCTAAATGGTCTTTAGAGGGCGACAGGTGTCCACTGTGGCTATGGGAAGGCAGCAGGAAACTGGAGGGCAGGAGGTGAAGTAACCCCATTTACAAACAAAAAAAGATCTTAGAGTAGGAATTTGGAAGAAAGACATTAGAAATGATAAGAAGAAGGAAAGACTGGTTAGCTTCCAGGATACAGTTTCTAAATTTCCTTGTGTACCAGCCTCAACAATCTTGCCTGTGGCACCTGCATCCCATTTGGGCACCAGTCTGAGTCCCAGCTGCTCCACTTCCAATCCAGCCCCTTGCTAACGCACCTGGTAAAGCAGCAAAAGATGGCCTGAATGTTTGGGCCCCTGCACCCATGAGGCAGACCCAGAAAAAGCTCCTGGCTCCTGGCCTCAAACCAGCTCAGTTCTGGTCATTGCAGCCATTTGGGGAGTGAACCAGCAGATGGAAGATTTCTCTCTGTCTCCCTCCTCACCTCCTGTAACTCTGACTTTCAAATAAATAAATAAATCTTAAAAAATAAAAAGAAAACTTGTAGGATGATACACTTCATCTCCAAATCCCTGGGAAAGCTTTGACTAGATCAACTGGTAAGACTTGACGCATCTAGCAAATATTTGCAAGTTATAAAACCTTATTAGAAAATGTATTCAAGACAGTCTGCAAGAACACAGAATCAAACTTAATCAAAACACACTCAAAGGCCTTATAACCAGCTTGAAGTCCAACATTTAAAGGGTCGTTGCTTTATGAAAGCAGGACCAAATGAAGACAGACTCAAAGGGGAGGCAGAAATTACATGTCACAGAAAGATTAGATGAAACTGTTTGAAACCCACACCAACACCAGTATCTGTGCAGTGTTTTACAGTTTGCAAAGTACTACTTTTCCATATATGAACCTCATCAATTCCAAAACACTGTAGGGTGGAATATCATTACCCACACTTTCCAAGTGAGAAAATAGAGACAAAGAGGCCAATATCACAAAGGTCAGAACTAGACTCAGGCCTTTTAACTACTTTATAAACATTCTGGAGTTTTGGAAAAGAAAATAGTAACATACAGGTTGGGAAACACAGGCAGTGTCTGACAACCTAACTTGAATATATTTGAAGCAATGTTCATGGAGCATTAGAACAGGCTGTGCTCCCTGGAGTCTGGGTTGAAATTCTGAGTGTTCTTTCTCAAGGAAACATTGTCATGTATGGTGGTTAGGTTATCCAGTACTATTAAAAAGAACTGTACCTCAAGTTTATTTTTTATGTGTTAAATAGGCTTTTTATGAGTCTGATGAGAACCTAATCATGTATCTTGTCTCCATTCTAAAACACATCCAGAGCTCTAAAACAGTAAGCTACAAAGGGACATTTACAACAATTCGTTCATAAGTTAAGAAGTCTGTATCCAAGACACATTTCTAGTGGTAGAAACGGTTCACAAAACATGCTCTTTAATAACTAAGTAGGAGAGCTGGCACTGTGGCCAGTAGGTTAAGTCCCTGACTGAAACACCTGCATCCCATATTGCAGTACAAGCTTGAGTCTTGGCTGCTCCACTTTCAATCCAGGTCCCTGCTAATGTACCTGGGAAGGCAGCAGACAATGACTCAAGTACTTGGGCCACTACCACCCAGGTAGGAGACCCAAATAGAGTTCCAGGCTCCTGGTTTCAGCCTGGCCCATCCCCAACTGTTGCTGGCATTTGGGGAATACACTAGCAGATGAAAGACTCATTCTCTCTCTCTCTCTCTCTCTCTCTCTCTCTCTCTCTCTCCCTTTTACATAAATAAAAATAAATCAGAGGAAAATAACTAAACTGGGAGAATCAAGCTTGCGTAAATTTACTAGGAAAACCTTGCAAAATGTTTGTATGAACAACCACTGAGGAACACAGGTAGGGAAGACAGAGCAGTTGGAAGGACTCTGCTGCTCAGGCGCCAGCAGCCGCTGGTAGCGGCCTCTCTCATTCCAGGATCTCTACTCCTAGAACCCCAAAGAGGCATCCCATGACTCTCAAAAAAGAGCTGATGTCATGACAGACTTCAGCATTCTTAGCCTCCAATTGTATGCCTATCTAAAATTGCACTCAGTTAAAAGCACCACTCAAGCAAACAACACCATACCCATACACACTGTCTCTATATCTGTTTCTTGACACAGTACATACACCTATCTCAGGGTCTTCCAACCTATTTTTCCCCCTCCAGGAAAGTTCTTGCCTCTGATTTTTGTCTCTCTTGCTTACTTTAATTCATTCAGATCTTGGTTCACCTCCTTGGTCCAACACGTACCTTCCCTACTCCACATCTTTATATCCTCATAGCTTTATCCCTGACAAAGTATTACACATGAGGTCATAAACCTTGCAATAACCGATCTCTCTCTCTCTCTCTCTCTCTCACACACACACACACACATGCACAAACACATACATAGAATGCTCAAAGATAGCTTTTGGAATATGTTAAAAAATTTATCTATTTTTGCTTGGCAAATGGTACATACTGGATTTCATTTCATATTGCTCTTTAAACATATATATTTTCTTACCCTTTTATATGCGTTACACTTCATAATAAAAATAAAAATAATCAATTGAATATAACAGCATCATAGGGGCCAGCGCTGTGGCACAGTGGGTTAAAGTACTGGCCTGAAGCATCAGCATCCCATCTGGGTACCGGTTCTAGTCCAGGCTGCTCCTCTTCCAATCCAGCTCTCTGCTGTGGCCTGGAGTAGCAGTAGAAGATGGCCCAAGTGCTTGGGCCCCTGCACCCGCATGGGAGACCTGGAAGAAGCTCCTGGCTCCTGATCGGCACAGCTCCAGCCATTGCGGCCATCTGCAGAGTGAACCAGCAGGTGGAAGACCTCTCTCTGTCTCTCTCTCTCTCTGTAACTGTCTTTCAAATAAATAAAATAAATCTTTAAAAAAAAAAAAACAGCATCATAAACTGTAAGAATACTTACCTCACTTTGTGGTTCCTGGATAACTTTATAGAGAGATGAAACTAAAGAACTCTTGTCTTTCAAATTTGTGGCATAATTTGGTAAAGATGCTTCTGGTAGTGTCTAAACAAATTAAAAAAAAAAAAACAAGTTATATTTTTATGAAATTTCCAAGATAGGAAAATCCACAGAATAGAAAGGAGATCAGTTGTTGGCAGACACTGGAGGAGGAAGGGGGTGGATTGAGAGTGACTGACAGGTAGAGTTTTTGGGGGGTGATAGGAATGCTGGCTGCACTACATTGCAAATCTGCTAAATAAATAAAAATACTGTATTTCATATTAAAATGGTGAATCTTCTATGAATTATATCCCAACAAAAAAAAATAAAGCAAAAATATATTCTAGCCTCTGCCCATCATCAGGGACATAAATTAACATCAATACTTCATCTTTGACCACTTTGAGGTTAAAATTGAGAATGCAAACCCCGTGTGAAGCTAGTGATATTTTTTGTGGTGGTATATAAATTATGAGTCACGTTATCTATACTGATCCTGATTCTTCCTAAACATGTTATATACGGCTCTGATAATGTTTCAGAGCTGAATGTCATAGCAGACCGTTCGATCCAAATGTCTCCTGAGCAGTATGTTGTGAGTAGTAAGCTCTGTAACGCTGTTCTACTCTAGGAACTGGTGGGAAAACAGACTTCTCAGATGTTCTCACTACCAACCATAAACTAGTTTCCCCAGTGCAACTTAAAATAGGAGCAACTAATCATAGCTTGCCAGCACCACCCACACAACAGGACATGCGACCAGAGAAGAATGTGAACGGTTTAAGCATAAAAAAAAAGTGGGGAAGTATGCAAAAGACACCGATGTCATGATAACGACGATAAAATTGGCCTCTGGAGTCATTATTCTTTCTCTCCCAACTAAGTCCTCATTTCCTCCAGTCAGTGCTAATCCTGTAGTAGACACCACGCCTCAAGGTAGTCCTAAGCGTCACTCCAAAACACGTGCTACTTTTCACACATTCTGCATCCTAGTAGTTCATGATTTACACGGGTTTTGGTCCTACAGATATATGTGTACATAAATAGACATGTAAAATTCAACAGTGTGGGGCTGGCGCCATGGTGCACTAGGTTAATCCTCCGCCTGCGGCACCGACATCCCATATGAACACTGGTCCTAGTCCCGGTTGCTCCTCTTCCAGTCCAGCTCTCTGCTATGGCCTGGGGGGGAGGGGAGGCAGTAGAGGATGGCCCAAGTGCTTGGGCCCCTGCACCCATGTGGGGGACCGAGAGGAAGCACCTGGCTCCTGGCTTCTGATCAGAGCAGCTCTGACCATTGAGGCCATGTGGGTAGTGAACCAATGGAAGGAAGACCTCTCTCTCTGTCTCTCTCTCTCAGTCTGTAACTCTGTCAAATAAATAAATAAATCTTTGAAAAAAATTCAACAGTGTAGCTTTTCATAATAAGGATATGATGTGACGCGATTTCACTTTACAGTGAGCTCCTGGAGGGTAGGAGCTGTCTTACCACTTCTGCATCCACACCACTCGGCACAGGCTCCCGCGCAAACCTTTGCTGAGGGAACTTATCATAGACAGAAGAAGAAATGAAAACTGCCACTGCAATTCCTCAGCAGATTCTTTAAAAATAGGTCATATTTCACCTTAGGATATAAAAGGGAATAGATTTCTTAAATCTAATACATGAGTTTTGTTTGCTAGAATAGTAAGTAAATGTGAATTATCTGAGAACCTTCCACCATCCTCCAGAGGAAAAACAAGCTCACTGCACTGCTTACATAAACAAGAGAGGAGATTAGGGCATGCTTCAATATTTCAAAAGCACAGAACAAAAGATCTCCAGGCAACATTTCATTTCCGTCATTTGATCAAGAGTAACTTAACACTAGGGGAATTTATATAAAAAGGGATTAACAGTCAAATAAATAACAGATTTCTAACCCTCTGAAAAGAAATGAACCTACATATTTTATATTCCTAGTTTTATATAATTAAAGCACAAATTAAAAATTATATAATTAAAATATATACATATATAGCACACTATATATGTATCTAATATAAATGTCTATAAAATTTAAGAATAAGTGAATTAAAATATAAATATCTTAGAATTAGTGGATAGAGAGATAATATTGTAATATACTACCTAGGCTAAAATTAAAACAATGACTAAATTTTTTAGTTTATAACTCAGTTAACGCTCGTGAGGTAAACTATTTTTATGAAACAGCCAAAGGCAGAAAGACACCTCTTTTCTGAAGAGATAAGCTCTGGAAAACCAGTGCTACTACTACTAAATGAGAAGAGGGATAGCCTAAAAATTAATGCAGTAATTCTTATATTTTATTCAAAATTCTGTCATTATTTCACTTTGTGAATGTGGGAAAAGTTACTTTTGCACGCAAAAGGGGAGAAGATACAGCTGCTGTGTGTATGAATGGTGCTTGAAAAGCTTAAGATCTGAGAGGTCCAAATGAATTTAAAAACTGTTAGAGCCAACATTTATATCTCCCTGCACCGTACTAATTCAAAAGTACTGGCCTTCTTAATACCATTTAAGGCTTCTCATACTTCAGACGGCAGAGGTGAGGATGAAAGGCATCAATGAGACATTATGCTGGGAAATTTTTCTGGGCAAAATTTGAAGACAGATGCTTCATACTAAAGTATCGTCTGCCAGATGGCTTTTTTTTTTTTAATGTAAGGAGATAATATGGGTTGGGTGCAAAAGAATTAATGAAGACGGACAGATGGGAGAAGAACCAATAAATAAAACAACCTTTTCAACAACATCACACATAAGACTGGATTTGAATCACTTATTAAGATTCAGTGGCTATCAGAAAATTGAAAAAGTTAGGAGTCTAGAAATCTATTAGATAAATCTACACATAGCAATCATAAAAACACAATATAACCTGAAAGAAATGTTTTACAAATAAATCTTAGAAAAGATAAAGATTGAACTTTTCATGAAATCTTGAAATGAAATCCTAGTCTAATCATTTTGTCGGTATATAAAGACAAGACAAATATGAGTCCAAAGCTAAAGCACACACCCAAGTTTTTACAAAGGGAAAAAAATTTCTTTAATACTTAAAATTTTAAATAAAAGATGTTCACAAAGCAAACTGTCTCTATGCCTTTGAGAGGCTGCTGAGGTTATGAGGCTGGGAGTTCAGACTGTGACCATGAACAGTGTACAGCTAACACCATCTTCACTGACCACCTGCTTTGGTTTTCTGATGAAGACACTGAGACCTGCAGAGCTTCTGTGATTTGCCCAACATAACACAACAACCCAGCAGGAAAACTGGGATTTGATCAAAGGATTTCTGACTCAGCCCACTTGACCAAGCACGGTGACCTTGGCCTGATTAGGACTATGGTTATTATTTTAACAAATGTCATTTAACATCACAAATCACTTCAAAAGGCAGGTTACTCAAATTTCAAATTATCTTAATTTTAAAAGTACTTACCAGGGCCAGCGTTGTGGCACGCCAGGTTAAGCCGCTATTATGATACCGATGCCAGCATTTCCCTATCGGAGTGCCAGTTCAAGTCCTGGCTATTCCATTTCCCATATAGCTGCCTGCTAATGCGCCTGGGTAGGCAGTGCAAGATGACCCAAGTGTCTGGTTCTCTACCACACCGACAGCAGACTAGGATGGAGGTCCTGGCTCCTGGCCTCAGCCAGACCCAGATTCGGCTGCTGTGGTCTCTCTCTCTCCATAACACTCTACCTTTCAAATAAATAAATCTTTAAAAAAAAAAAAAGTACTTAGCAGATTTCTGCCAAAGCGCAAAAATTTAAATCCAGGCATATTTCTCCTAATACACATTTAACATGAACTTTTTTAAAAAAAGATTATTTTATTTATTTATTTGACAGAGTTACAGACAGTGAGAGGGAGAAACAGAGTTTTAGAAAGGTCTTTCATCCACTAATTCAGTCCCCAAATGACCACATCAGCCAGAGCTGGGAAGCCAGGAGCTTCTTCTGGATCTCCCAGGTGGGCACAGGGCCCCAAGGACTTGGGCCATCCTCTACTACTTTTCCAGGCCATAGCAGAGAATTGGATCGAGAGGAGCAGCTGGGACTAGAACCGGTGCCCACATGGGATGACAGTGCTGCAGGCGGAGGATTAACCTACTGCGCCACAGCGCCAGCCCCACCATGAACTTCTGAAGTCCTCTAGCATTCCCCCTGGTGTGCTGCTGATTTTGCCTGATAACCTTACTTTCCTTATCAAAGAGCTGAATTCAATATACAGTAACACAATTCAGAATCATACTCAAGACAATTTCCAGGAATTCCTCCTTCCAAATAAATGAAAACAAATAAAAATCTTAAAATCAAGATCAAATTGAGTGAAAACTGGTAAGTCTAATCGTGAGGGAGACGGGTAGTCAGAAACTAAATTAAATCACTTTTTATTTCACGAGATCTGTGCGTTCACTCCCTTCTCCCAGTGGAAAAGTTTCCCTAGCCTTGTATTAAATTTATAAATAAAAACTTGGTAAAATATTGTGATCCAGGTACCATGTTAGATTGGCTATTTATCTGTACTCTGGATTCTTTTAGTGGAAGATATTTAGGAAAAAAGATCTGTGTGCTTCGTATGCCTGTCACTCATTGCTTCTAAGTCCTCTCAGTGAACAGGGCTAAGAAACACACACGTGCATTAGAGCATATTTCAAAACAGTCAGGGAAAAATTAGTTTCTCTCTTAATTCCATGTTTCCAAAAACATCTTGAAGTTACCTGCACCTATGCGTGAACAGACACACAACTATCACACACATTTAAAACCCAGGAGTTCATAGATTCTTCTTACTCTGTCCAACACTTTAGAGTTCTTTCTTGCCTTTCCCCATCCCAAGTTTGTCATTTCGTGATCAGATGGAGGAAGAGAAATCTCACTCCCATTACGCTCAATATGTTGACACATCTGCTTGGTTCACTTCTCTGGTCAGTGGAACCTCTCTGGCTGACTCTTCACATGCCACCTCTGCACCCCTTCACCCCAATCCCCAGCTCTGCTGACATGAAAGCACACCAAAGCTGATCCTGCTCCCTCTCAGTGTCTACATACTCAAGACAGGAAGGGAATAGAATGAACAGACAGACGGGAAAGGAAGTGCGTTAGTCATGATTTCCACTAGCTGGTCCTTCCCCTATGACCCACCCTTTAACATACCCTCTTCCCACTATTCCCACCTTAAAGGATGGATAACTCTAGGTACTTCTGACTTCATCATTAAACAAACAGATATTCAAAAAGAAATAGTACTCAACTGTTAAATTTGACAAATGGCCATCAACCTACCCCCTTAAAATCATGATAATATAGAACAAACCACATCAAACATTTTTGAAGCAGAAAAAAAAAAAAGCTTAAAAACATTTGGAATGCCTTATTCACAAGGTAATATAAACTGGGGTGGGGGTGGGGGTGGGAGTGGGGGTGGAGAGCACATATAAGATCTAGCCAAACTATTGAAATGCATAGGAAGCACTATGGACAGCACACCTTTGCAACACTCTATACCACTTCATTACTTAGGGAATCCATGGAAGGATGCTCAACACATGACTATATAAAAGATGAATCTGCCCACCCATTCAACAGGATTAGGTAACAGAGAGATAAGGCTGGCTGTTAGCAGGAAACATTGCTCTACCAAGGACACACAGCAACTCAAGTGTCCCAACAACCTCTGTACTTGAGAGACTCACTGACAAGCTTTGGTGTCTAAAATCATAGATTATCAAAAACTTTGCTGTTTGAATATATTAGGAAGAATGGGACATCCCACTCTTGCCTGGAAGATCTAAGTGGCATTGACACATGAAAACAGCCCTGATTTCCAACTTGATCTCCCCGTCAGTGAAGGGGCTTCTGAATACAACTTTCCAAATCTGTGTCACTTCGCAGTTTCTGAGACAACTGTGAAGGCCAGACAAGGCATTAAACTCATTACGACAGCCCAAAATACTGCTTTATTTAAATTTCACCTAAACTCTACCCTTCCTCCAAATGGTATAATAATTTTATTTTTCCCACTTTCTGGTGAGAGGCCCCCATGGTACCTGTTGTATAGTCTTTTACTGCAGCAAACCAGTAAACTCAACTCTGAGTTTTCCCTTGAAGATGGGCTGGATAAAAATCAAAGTCACTACTGCAGTCTAAACCCTTCACTCTCATGGTTCATCATAATAAAGTGCATAAACAAACTTATGTGTCAGTAAGGACAAGAAAAGATAATTAGTTGGTTTAAGGAACACCGTTTTTGTTATAGAGAAGAGTCCATGAGGTATGAAAACATAAGTTTTATTTTCTTCATTAACTAATCAAAGGTTACACATTCCTTATAGCTAACTGGAGAAAGATCTACTAGGACAAAGTTGGGCTCACGCCTTCCCATTTTCTCCTCATTGCTGGTATGCCCAGTTTCATTACTCCCCACCCCAAGTGAAGGACGACAATGAATCATCAGTGGCCCTTGGAGAGCGACATCAGCATTCAGAGACTTCACCATTCATTGTGGCATTGCCACAAAAGGGAAAAACAACAAACAAAAGAATAAATTCGTTGACTCACTTTATGAGAAAAATGGAATACATTTTCTAGAAAATATTATTGCATGTAAATAATTCCATATTAAGATTTATTAGATCATACTTATTCCATAGTTATTTAGCTTTTCTGTTATATACAAAAAAATTCAAAGCCAATGGAATTTAAACATGAGACAAATTTCTTTGGAATATAATAACTATATTAGATCAATAAATATTACCTTAAACTCTGACAGCCATTCCTCCACAACACCTTTCTCTGAAGTGAACATCTTTCCACATCTGCTCTAGACCTTCAACCTGAAAATTAACATAGGAAAACAATACAATTTTGAATATATTTCTTTTACAGTCAGATTACTATGAAAAGGGGTAATCCAACACAATTAAGTTACTTAACACCTTATTTGTGAAATTAAAGTAGCTCCAAATTACTAGACTAATTTCAAACCAATGTGCATAAAACCAGCATTAAAATACAAGCATTCTGACTAAAGTATAAATATCACAACATGATGAAATGGGCTCTGCAATTTTCAGTCAGCTTTCAGGAATGCCAGCTGCAAAACATACTGGACACCTTCCCATAGTAGCAATTAAACAATTTCAAAAATATCACTCATCTTAAGAAAACTGCATAAGATGTTTCAAAACTGTGAAAAGACAAGAAGATATACATCCAAAATTGACTTTATAGAAAGCAACTTAATTTGATTATATTTTGTTTCTTTTTTTCAACAGTAACTATCTAGGTTAGCCATCTGGATTCTTGAAAGATTAATATTCATCTAAAAAAGTAAAAGTGATAATATCCAAGATAATGACCTGTCAGCCTAAAAAAATGAGAGATTCTCCAGTGACTAACATTTATGGCTTTATGGGGACTAGCAGAGCATCGCAATGGAACTATGCATCGGTAGTAAGCTATAGGCATATTCAAGTAAGCGCAGGCAAGGCAAAATTTTCAAAGGAAAAACTGAGAAGGATTGCATCAGGCATTTTGAAACACAATCTCTGGCCACAGTGATTAAGAACCAGAGTGATGCTGGCCTGAGGGTGCAGGAACAGCTGCTAGGCAGATGTCCGTCCTTTGCAGAGTGCTTTTTGTATAAGGTCAAGTGGCCTCCGGGCAAGCTTGTGGTTCTGGCAGAGTCTGGATACTCACCACGTGGCAATTAGGCATGAGAACCCTTTCTTCATAATTGCTCGCCTTTATTTATTTATTTTCATTAGGGTTGACACAAGCAACTCCATTTTGATTCTAACAACTTCCATATTATGCTCACAGACCATATTCAGGAACAGTTACTCAGAAGATTGGGTTTTAATTAAACATAAAGAAGAAACAAAGCAAGCTAAAGGAGATGTAAAACAGTTTTACATGGGCAAAATTTTTGTCGAAGTACTATATTTTCCTCACCCATCCATCTGTTCAGGAATAGACTTAGAAATTCTTTCCTAAGACTTTGCCTAAGGGAAAATTTTAGCTCTGTTTAAACTTCCTAACCTCCTAATTCAGGAACAAATGTATTAGGCTTCTTAATTTTTTTTTTTTTTTTGACAGGCAGAGTGGACAGTGAGAGAGAGAGAGACAGAGAGAAAGGTCTTCCTTTGCCGTTGGTTCACCCTCCAATGGCCGCCGCAGCTGGCACACTGCGGCCAGCGCACCGCGCTGATCCGATGGCAGGAGCCAGGTGCTTCTCCTGGTCTCCCATGGGGTGCAGAGCCCAAGCACTTGGGCCATCCTGCACTGCACTCCCTGGCCACAGCAGAGAGCTGGCCTGGAAGAGGGGCAACCGGGACAGAATCCAGCGCCCTGACCGGGACTAGAACCCCGTGTGCCGGCGTCGCAAGGCGGAGGATTAGCCTAGTGAGCCGCGGCGCCAGCCTAGGCTTCTTAATTTTCAACAGCAAAATAATGTAGCAAAAACTGAGGCAGATTTGCCAAAAACTGAATCCTTTTTTCTTCTTCTTTTTTATTTGAAAGACAGTTACAGAGAGAGGTAGAGAGAGAGAGAGAGAGGTCTTCCATCCGCTGGTTCACTCTCCAGATGGCCGCAACGGCCGGAGCTGCGCCGATCCAAAGCCAGGAGCCAGGTGCTTCCTCCTGGTCTCCCATGTGGGTGCAGGGGCCCAAGGACTTGGGCCATCTTCTACTGCTTCCCCAGGCCATAGCAGAGAGCTGGATTGGAAGAGGAGCAGCTAGGACTAGAACCAGCACTCATATGGGATGCCAGCACTTCAGACCAGGGCTTTAACCCGCTGGGCCACAGTGCCGGCCCCCAAAAACTGAATCCTAACTCAAATACTTGTAGTATAAACTTGGGCAAGGTGTTTGCCTTGGTTTTTTTCAACTGTGAAACAGGAATGACCACTGTAAGTCTTTCCAAGGGATTAATGTGAGGATTAAACCTTAAAATGCAAACAAAAATACATATAACAGTATCTGATGATAAAGTATTATTACTATGTGATATTATTAAAGAATATTGCTAACTCATCTAATCTTTGCTCAGCTGTCTATCAAAATACACAGATGAACAACACAGCTTGCTAAAGAATACATCCTGGGGCCCATGTTGTAGCATAGTGGGTTAAGCTGCCTGGAATGCTGGCATCCCATATGGGCATCTATTTGAGTCCTGGCTGCTCTACTTCCAGCCCAGCTCCCTGTTAATGCGCCTGGGAAAGCAGCAGAGGATGGCCGAAGTGCTTCGGGCTCTGCACCTACGTGGGAGATCTTGAAGAGGCTCCTGGTCCCTGGCTTCAGACTGGGGAGTGAACCAACAGATGGAAGATATCTCTCTCTCTCACTTTCTCACTCTCTCAGTAACCATGCCTTTCAAATAAAAAAATCTTTAAAAAAAATCCTAAAGTTTTTGTTAATAAATCCCCATTTAAAATATATTTAAGAAAAAAGAGTATATATACATACACATATACATACTATATTCATTTGTATATACATAAATATACATGAGGTACACACATATGAGGGGTCTTCAAAAAGTTCATGGAAAATATATATTATGAAAAGACTATACATGGCTTATAATTTTTTGGCACCAAAATAGGTTTATCTATTAATTATATTTTTCTATGGTTTATTTAGTACCCTACAATATTCACTCATTCACAAAGAATCATTTGAATTATATGTATCTCATTTTTTAGAATAAATGATATTCCAATTTATCTGTGGATCAAGTCAAACTATCAGAAAGCCACATATCTCTACCTTATTACTGATTTGTTTTAACTATGTATTCAGATAAACTTTGGAATTACATCCAACATACTATCCAAAACACTGTTGGGTCACATATTATCCCCCTAAAAGTCAATAAGGAAGAAAATTTGCATTCTCAGTTTTCACTACCAAGAAAATCTCTCCTGCAGAGTAACGCTAATTTTTTATTCTATGGGTACTGTGAATCTCATAACTTTGCTTTGACTCTAATAAAAATGGGGGCCACAGCTTCGGCCTTGCCCAGAAAAAAACCAAGTCTAGATGAATCTTATCTACTGCTTTATTTTATATTCCTACCATTATTTTATTTCTGTTTTATTTTAAAGATTTATTTATTTATTTGAAAGTCAGAGTTACATAGAGAGAAGAGAGGCAAAGAGACAGAGACAGAGAGAGAGGTCCTCCATCCACTGGTTCACTCCCCAATTGGTCACAACGTTCAGAGCTGTGCCAATCAGAAGCCAGGAGCCAGGAGCCTCCTTCAGGTCTCCCACATGGGCGCAGGGGCCCAAGGACTTAGGTCATCTTGTACTGTTTTCCCAGGCCATAGCAGAGAGCTGGATCAGAAGTGAAGCAGCCAGGACTTGAACCGGAGCCCATATGGGATGCTGGCACCACAGGCAGCAGCTTTACCCACTATACCACAGTGCTGGCCCCTCTTTCTGTCTCTTATCAACTTAGTCTTATCCTCTTCTATGCATTTGTGAAGTAAATATAAATATACATAAATTTTTTTTGTATACATTCTTCTAAATAAATTTAGGAGAGAAAGTTATCAAAAATAGAACCACCCTACATCATATTACAAGGAATTGGGGAAGTAACATTTTTATAAAAATTGAAAGTAACTTTGTAGTTATAATTAAAGCTACTTTTAAAATATTCAAGGCCAGCACCATGGCTCACTAGGCTAATTCTCCACCTGGGGCGCCAGCACCCCGGGTTCTAGTGCTGGTCGGAGCACCGGATTCTGTCCCGGTTGCTCCTCTTCCAGTCCAGCTCTCTGCTGTGGCCCAGGAGTGCAGTGGAGGATGGCCCAGGTCCTTGGGCCCTGCACCTGCATGGGAGACCAGGTGCAGCACGCCGGCCATAGTGGCCATTTGGGGGGTGAACCAACGGAAAAAGGAAGACCTTTCTCCCTGTCTCTCTCACTGTCTAACTCTGCCTGTCAAAAAAAAAAAAAAATTTAAAAAAGATTCAAAAGAATCCAAAGGAATATGCAAAAGATCAAGAATAACTAGAGCAATCTTGAAGAAAAACAACAAAGCTGGAAGACTTGGACTTCCCAATATCAAGACTTTTTACAAAATGTCCTAAGCCTCTAGTAATTAAGTCAGTGTGGTATGGTCAGAAGGGTAGAAAAGACAAACTAATGCAACAGAATAATCTAGTCAGAAACAAACCTCCACAGACATAGTCACTGATTTATGATGTAAGCAACATTGAAATTCAATAAGAAATTATAATTCCTGGGGCTAGGTCAACTGGATGGCTACCCTGGAACAAGGGAAAGAAAGAGCCATGACCCCTCTTAGCCCACACTGTGTGCAACAACCAGTTCCAGCTGAATCACAGACCTAACTAGGAGTGGCGAACCATAAAGCTTTTAGAAGAAACCACGAGCGAGTACTTTCATAACCTTGGGGTAGGCAAAGATTTCTTAAACAAGAGGCACAAAAGCACTCATCATAAGGCAGGCAGAGAGGGGGAATAAAACGACCTTCATTAAAAGTGAGAACTTGTGTTCATCAAAAGACATTACCAAGAGAATGAAAAGGAAAAGTCATAAAGTGGGAAAAGATATTTGCAATTCGTATATTTGAGACAAACATCTGATAACCAGAAAAAAAAATCTTACAAATGATTAAGAAAAAAGCAGACAGCCCAATTGGAAAAAACAAGAGCATCATTTATCCAAGCAGAAACTATAAAAGATGAAAGGTGCTCAGCTTTGCTAGTCATCAGGGAAATGTCAAAACTCAAAATGAAATACAACCCCACCACTACTACCACACACACACACACAAACACACACACACAGGTATGACCA